AGAGTTCGCCTTCTCGATGTCATAGTCGCCTTGAAGCACTGAAGTTGCGAGTGCATGTGAGTAGTACCACCCACACTGCTAATACTGTACCCCTTGCACTGACAGCGGTACTTTTGCGCAAGTAGCTTGATCTAAGTCATACTAGTACATTAGAAATCAGCCGAAACTTACCTCTTGTTTGATCCGGAGTGGACTTTTATTGTAGTGCTCAACATCGATCGACTCGTCGATTTCCACGAAGTGCATGGACAAGTACTTAATATTGATGTTCACCGCCCTATGTACTTCTTGTTTCTGACGTCGTCATTGGTAGGGCGTCGGCATTGCCAAAACAAACGTTGTAATCGCTTGACTTGAACACGATGCCACGCAGTCTTTGTTCGTCTTTTCTTGGGTGCCATACTTGTTGGTAGTTTGTTTTGTCTTCAAAAAGCAACAGCATGCAGGCGATCTGAGCGGCACTCGTGCATCCAGCGCAAATGCTGTGTCATAACGTCGTCGAAGAACGCAAGTTGGGAGAGGTTCGACTTGTTTTCTTCCGCGCACCGCACAGGTCACGACCTAAGAAGCGGGTGCACTTTTTCACAGTCTCGAACATATTCACGTAGCTCACATCACTTTCCGATCGAACAAATATGTACGCCCAGGACAAAACTAATGCGGCGTCTGTTTCTCCACATGCGTTGTCGCTCCACCAAATCCCCCCAAAGGCCAACGGCTGTGATTAGGCTTGTACGTCCCATCTACGGATGATACAGCATCGGTTCCTTTGCCGTCCATTGACACGAAAACGTTAAACTTCGAACACCGCGGCAATGGTAGATACAAACTTTGTCCCTGCATTTCTTCGTATGACAGTAATCCGGTGGCTTCGAATCTGGCCCCGAGTCGGCAGGTCCTCCAGAACGCGGGGAGTTTTCGAGTACGTTAGTGTTAGTGAGGTGAGGACGTCCAACGGCCCAGAACCACCAAGGAGCATGCTGTCGATTTCAGGCAGGAAACGATGGATCTTGGTTCTCGATAAAATCACTTCGGCATCCAGGTTGTGGTGGACACTGACGTGGTCACGCTCATTGTAGACGACACGTTCAGCCCTATCACGCTTATTGCCGTTGCCATCACGATTGCTGTTCCGGCTCTGGACGTCGTCTGGCGGTCCGAATCGTCGTCAGGGTGATGGATGTCAAGTTCACTGTCATACAGGCTTCGTCACGCTCGTTGCCGTCGTTGATCTCGCGGGATTCGAAGCGGTCACGGCCACGGTTGCTCCTACTCTCATGGGCAAGGTCTTGAAAACGATGGTAGTCGAATCGTTTTCATGACCTTGCCCATGTGCTATGCAATCATAGGTAGTAAGTATATCACATTAGGTAATATCCCTAATGCTCTAAAACGATCCACTCCATCACAACAGATTATGTGCCTACTAACAGTAGTAAGCTCGAAAATACCCCAAACGGTCTAAATTGCTTCATCCCAAAGCCTCGCTCGGAAATAATCCATCGTTTCCACGTATCCGACTGCCATGGCGGCAGTGGTTTCTCCTGGACGAACTTTGCATCCGCATCGTCGACACCGTCGTTCATGTCTGTGTTTGGGTGTTGATTATTTGCTGTAGTCTTCAACACTGGCATCCAAATCACCAATGACTTCTTCGACCACCAGTGTTGGACCTAGGCTGGTATACGTTAGAAGTACAGTACATCTTGAAATGTAATAATTCGATTATGAAGTGAAAGCTCGGTGTTTGGTTGTTAAGAATCACTTCACAAATTGTGATAAGACTAGAGATAAGGTAATCCATAGATCGCGAACGCCATCGATATCACGAACGGTTGTCATTATATCCAATCCAATGGCTTCATTCTGTAATGAGGCCTTTTCATTGGATATGATTATATTCAGGCAAAGGAACAGGAAACCATCTTGAAGTTCAAAACTAAGATCATTTTTATGTTGTCCAATACATCAAATTAGTTATCATTTTATTATAATGCGTTCAAATGTTAATGTAGACTTGAGTTCGTATACTAGTATAAATTAAAATGCGTCATGACATCCAGGTATAATATTTTGTAAATTAATATTCCAAACATACAAAACTAAGACATTACGACCGTTTGCGAAAGACAAAGCCAAAATTGTTTCATTTCTTTGACGTTACTTTATAATTTCAAGTACTACGTAGTACATACCGTAGTTCGTAAGTTAAAGGTTGCATGCCAGATCCAAAATTTATACAATATTTCACAGGATGGTGGTACATTTTGTGACTTCAACTTGGGTAAATTATAAGTTGCATACAAATTCCAAGATAACGACGAGGTCCTGCAATTGACATTGAAGTATACTTTTTTAGAGAACATCAAAACATAGAATATTTATTATCAAAAGGTTCTCGATGGTTCTAGCATTTTCCAAAACCCGGCAATTCGGCGGTCGACAGCAGCGAAGACGCCCTCCACGCAAAGATAAGGGAACAAGCTCAAGGGCACGGTACGTCCACCACACATCTATCCACTCGGGTGACGTCATACTAGACCCATCTAAACGATATTCTACGTAGATATGATTCAAGTTTCAACGCAACCAACCACGACTGCTGTCGGCTGCCGACGCCATATCGCGAGACAGTCCAGATGCAATGGTAAGATTCCAAGTGTCCGAATATATGATAGTAATATGATAGGAGAAACTGTGCGTGGCGCACTTATTGACCCGCGGCAATAAGCGGACTCGATGACGACTCGGTACGTGACCTTGGTAGACGAGGGTGTTTGAGCGCATCGATAAGGCATGTTTTTGGAGACAATACAGACAATACATAAAACTTTAGTATACTTACGATTCATTTTCAATCAAATATCTCCATACTTTCATCGACTACGATATCTGTGGCAAGATTGATACTTCCAAAATTTCTCGAGATTGCATCGATGTCATCGTCGGGCTCATCATCGCTACCATCGACCGCACTTGAGTTATTGAGCAGCAACTTTGTGCGCCGGAATCCCATGATGATTGTAGATTGCGGCAAATCAGCCCACGCGGTGTTGACCCAACGCACGATTGTTCATCTGTCCGGTGGGACCAATTGAAACGGCTTTGAGTTGTCATGCGCTCGCACTTGCTCCATGAGGGTGTCGACCCAGTACTTTCGCAGCTGGGACTTGAAGGGTTTGTTCCATGCGACGTCAGCTGGCTGGCACGACCAAGTGAATTGCGGGGGCACCTTCTCGAGGAGAACATTAATTTCATTGGCGTAATTTTGAACCTAGTCCGGATAATTTTAGGTCGATGAATTTCATTGGATAAAAAATACCTTATCCGTAAAGTGACCCGAAAAATCATCCCACAGAAGCAAAATCTTGTCGGCCATGTTTGACCGTGACCCAAAGTGAAAGCGGAGGAACTCGACAGATATGTCTTCATTCCACCATGCGGAGGGGTTGCCGTAGAGCCTGCTGGGGTACTCGGCCATGAGGTGCGTGACCTCCCGCCATACGAACGGACCGAACCCTTGTCGCTCGTTGATGTTGGATTGGACTGTCGTGGCGACGGTGGACTTTCGTTGCTTGAGCACAATGAACAACGGATACTTGTTTCCATCAGAGTCACCCAATAGCATTGCAGTTGCTCGCTCCTTGTCTTTGCCCCCACAACGAACCCACACGGTCTTCACCCCGCGAGCATTGATCGTACGCTTGGGTAAGTACTCGTAAAAGACGCCGGTTTGGTCAGCGTTATAACACTTTGTTATATCGTTAACTAACATGACCTATAACACTGTTAAATAGCCAAATGTATAATTAAGCATACCTCGTGAACACGCCTACTAAAGGCGTCCAAAGCAGCGCTGGCATCTTCCTCTTTGTCTTGTCCTTGCCTTGTCTTTTGTCGTAGCGTGAATCCATGGCGTTTCTTGAAACTGTCCACCCAATCCCGCGATGCCTTGAACTGATTGGATGAAATCCCTTGTTCCTCCGCAAGTTCTCTGGCCTTTAATTGCAGCATAATTGTAGCCACTGGGATACCTTCATTTCGCATCTCTTGAACCCATTGGACAATAACCGCCTCGATAGCACAATTTAAGGAGGTTCCCACACCAACACTTCGGAGTTTCTTTAGCTGAGACCTCGAGGAGTATCCGATCTGTTCGACCTTGGTACGCATTTTTACCCAATCGCGGACGACTTTGGACATGTTTCGACGGTCTTTGCCCACAAGCTGTGGATAGAATCGCGTGAGGGTAGCAGACATACCATGTAAGGCATGGAAGTTTATTACTTCAACCTTCTCCTTATAGTCGTGGCTCTGACGCATGTACTGAAGCCGTTGATGTGGACGTCCGTTGAAAATGTTGGGGTGTCCCGGAGAGCAAACGCCGTATCGATTCCCCTTCCGTCGGGTCGGGATCGAGTTGCATGATGGGTCCTCCTCAGACGCTGCGCTAGTCCCGCTGTCCTCGTCCATGTTGGATTGTCAAATGTAATGTTTATTATACGAAAAGACGATAATTTCAATGGCTAGGGTTTTGCGTGCAAGGTGACACTGTCCATTCATGTGCTGCCATTTTACTCTGAAATCAAATACTCGACAATATAATTATGTTTTTCAGGTTATTTGACTTGCCAAGGTCATACGTCGAAAAAAAAACAACTAAGGGTAGCGTTGGAAAATATAAATCCAGCTGCATTTTTAGTGCCCAGAAGTGCCTGAAATATTAGGATATTTCAGGCACTTCTGGCACTAAAAATGTAGTTGGATTTCGTAGTACATACCGTAGTTCGTAAATTAAAGGTTGCCTGATATTATAAGTTGCGTGTGGGATTTTCTCTACAAAATTATATAAATGGTGCAACTCCCAAATATAAGAAACCAAGGGTTTCATCTCGAGACTTTTTGTATTGGAGTTCTTCAAACATTTGACATTTTAGGGCACAAAAAGTATTGATGGATTACCTTATGCAAATTCTACGGCAACTATTAGTACTCCGAAAAAGTGATCATAAATTGGTCATTTACGTTAGTAATCCGACCACGGTTTGGCGTTTTCTGCAGCACGAGCCGAATCGTTTTCGGCTGCTCCGTAGTCGTAGTTGTTGGTGTCACCATAAGACTCGCCGTTGTCGTAGCTGAACTCGATAGAATTGTTGTCCGCGTATGCTACTTGTTGGGACGCGTCGTAGTACCCGCCGAGGCCATCTGGGCTCCAGTACGTTCCCGTTGCAGTGTCGTAGCACCCTCCAAACTCGTCGTAAACCCATTGCGATGCCTCAACGTCTGGCATTGCAGCTGCACCGAACTCACTGCTAAGATCATTTCCACAAGTCTTGGTGGCATCCGCAGGTTCACTGTGAGATTCCATCGACACGTAGGAAGTGACGGGGGCAGCTGTAGGGGACGCTACGAATTGAGGCTTCTTCTTCGACGCCCGGGAAAAGATGGCGACGCAGCCTTCGTACCCGTTTGCCGCTGCTAGTTGGGCAGGTGTCTCCCAATCTGAATTTTGTAGCAAAGTGTCGGCCCCCAAATTTACCAGGTGATTAACCAATTTTTGATGGCCTACAACGCAATTTACAGGTTACACAAGGTATCGCTCCAACGTACCAGAATGGGCTGCCCAGTGAAGGGCAGTGTCCCCGCGCTCATCGGCAGCGTTCAAATCGACTTTGAACTTTCTCAGCGAGCTCACCTGCAACATACCATCGTTTTGGTTTCATCGGTATATAAGTATATATTGTTGATATGTTTATCAAACATTACATCCATGCATGTTTAACAGCAATAATGAATAGATGATGGTCATGGCATCATCAAGACGATGGGGAGAGCCTACCATTTCCAGTCCGCACTTGCACTCCATGGCATAATGCAACGGCGTTCGGCTGAGGACGTCTCGGACGTCTGGGTCCGCCCCCATCTCCAACAAAAACGTGACGAATGTCGAGTGATTGTACGCAATCGCCAAGTGCAGCGGCGACCGCCCTTCGGCGTCCCGAACGTTCACGTTCCACGTGTTTTCTTGTTGCAACACACAGGCGCATTCGACGTGACCGAGGATCGCGAGTACATGCAGGGGGAACGTGCCATCGTAGGACGCACAGTTCAACGACCCGCAGCGGTCGCGCGCAGTCTCGATAAGCAACTCGCATGCCCGCCTGTTGTTCTTGGCACATGCATGATGCAACGCCGTGTAGCCCTTGTTGTCGACGGCGTCGAGTCGGGCAACATGCATGAGTTTATCCAGCAACATGGGATGGCCTAGTCCATTGCTTAGCAACTAAACGATGGTATGGTTGGGAGGAGGATAACTACCGTGACCAGCCAGGATCATCAACGGCGTCACCCCGTCATAATCCTTGGCATGGACGTCGGCTCCATGTTCCAAGAGAATATCCATCACGTCATGCTGTTTGTCATCATGTGGCATAGCCACAACCACGTGCAAAGGCGTTTGCCCCGCCGCCTACCCACGACAACCCTCAACAAACAAGCAACAAAGCCAAAGGACAAAACTACACTCTGCATCGACGACCTACATCTCGTTCGTTGACGTCGCGGTTATCGTTCAAGCTGTCCAGGAGGTCCGGAATCGACAGACCAGCTGCCGCGTCGAGGACAGTAAGCGTTCGTTTGGTAGTTTTTGTCTTGTTGACTTGGGCGAGGCTCTCGGACCGGTGCAGCACTTTTCCGAGAGCGTACTCGGGGGGCATGGTCAGTTGGATGGTTGTATCTGTCTCGACCACTTCCACTTGCCCAAGCACTTCGAGAGCGGCGAACTCCCAGTCCTTGGTACGGACCTTGGACGAGCGAAACATGTGTAATGCGTTGAGCACCCTCCACGTCGCCTTGTCCAGTTGGAGGGACCCGCGCTTGCGATGCTGGATGCAGCTCACATACGCCACGCCTTGGCTTAGCCACAGCGCGTAATACGGTTCGTCCGCGGCAGTTGTGCCGAGAGCCACAGCCGTGGACCACACCTTTTTGCTCAAAAAGTTGCGGGCAGCTGCAATCAATGTCTTGGCTGCGCGTCGCCGCCTTAGAAACGCCCGTACCAGGCGCTGTATGCGGGTAGCCATGCGATAATGCCACAACCACCACCGGTACTCCACGTACGTGCGATAGGCTTTTTGAATGGACAACACTGCGCGTCGACGCTGGCGGCGCCACGTCACAAGCCGCCAAACCATTGCAAGGACTGTTTGGGCGTGGGTTCGAACGCGTAGCCGATACGCTGCCCAACAACGTTGAAGTCGACGACTGGCTTGACTTCGCCACCGGTGGCGCTGCTGGATGGCCAGCATGGTGCCCTGTACGAGCCACGCTGTTGTGAGGGGACGAAAGACGCAGCGGAAGTGCCATCGTCGCATGCAATTCCGCCACTGCATTTGAATCCCAGTGGAGGCCACGCGAAGCTGCATCCGACGAACTCGACGCGCTCGCCACCAGCTTTGGACTGTTCTGGCAGCCGTCACGCATCGTCGTCGTCGCTGTGCCTTGGTTCGCTGCCGCCACCACATTTGAATTCTCGCTGAGGCTAGTGTCTGGCCTCGCCTGACTTGGCTGGATTTTGCAAGGCGCCACCACTGCTGCACTGCGACCGCATGCACGTTGCGTTGCTGTTGAAGCTGGACGCGTAATACACGCCACTTGCTTTGAATGATCCGCGCCTGCAGCTGTTGGTTCATGCGTGCAGATTCTGCTTGCACCGTTTGCAGTTTGAGTTCCCACTTTTGTTGAGCGACCATATCTCGCCATCGGCGCTGGATAGACCGAGCTTGAACAG